GCATCTCAGGATAGCAATCCAAATTATTTGCTTGCATAGTTGATAGATTTGGGGGATCAATAAACACGTAGGAGAGAGATAAAATCCTAGGCTCGTTTAATTTGATAATCTTCATGCTATCTACTTTCTTATTTTTGTTTGCTATTTAATTTGAATTAGATAATTTAGTTTAGTTTAGTTAAATCAACTTCAAATTCGACTGCGTAGGGTGGGCTTGAACATAGTTATGAGAATGCAGCGCTTATGATTAGAGGTTTAAATATTTCTCGTGGATCGATAGTCGGACATTTAGTCCACTATATTACTTGTACGATACGTGCACTTGCATATATGTATTTTCACCAACACTTTTCTAACATAGCTTTCTTAATATGCGGAATCTTGTACTTCTTAGAACCTGTTGTTCGCATAATTTCTATTATACACGATTGCAATGTTAAAAATATACAATAGTATTTTGTCGCCGAAAAATCTTGAAATGATTTTTCGACGGCAATAACAAGCTCATCAACAAATTTAACGAGCTCCTTGTACTGCAAGATTGAATAGCACGAAAAATTCAAGATCCAAAACATTCAAATCTGTGGAATTTGGAGGTTGAGACATCAAACGAATATCAAATCCATCTTGTGCAGTTGCTCGAAAAAATCAGTCATCGTCACGATCAATAAGCGTTCTGGCATTGTCTTGTTGAATGAGTATTAGATAATTTGAATCCCCTTTCAACCATTTTTTATTGATCGGAGGTAGAACCTTTTCAATCAAATATGACCTTATAATAACATATGTATTTACTGATGGTATTGGCTTTGTCTCCAACGTGCCTGCAACTCTATTTACGCTGGTTCTTTTAGCTGTCTCTTCAATTTTTCCGGAGAGCGTTTCATTTCCTTGTGCATCAAACCTCGGACGAGCTATAGCAGTTAGAAACATGACTTTTCCAATAAAGTTTTTTTTTACAAGTGCGTAATGGATCTTCTTCATTTGGTAACAATTAGTAATTCTCTTATATTTTAGTCATATGAAACCATTTTTCGTCAATATGATTAAACATTCCAGTAAAATTCGGGTCATTCGGCATGCTATCACCATCAACCATTGACATACAAATTTGCAATCCAGATCTCTTACTCTTCTCCTTTAAAAATGGTTTTATAGCATTGGAATGTCGTCGTATTTTTCCCGACTTAAGACGCCTAAATAACTTGCTCTTCTTAATGTTCAACGAACAAGCTAAAGAATCAAGAGTTGTCCAACGATGTAAATGAATTTCACGAATTTGATCATAGTTAATAGGAATTCTCTTTCGACCACAATTTCTTGTCTTTTTATGAGATACATTAGCATGTGTGCCACCGTTTTCTGATTGTTTCAAAATACATTGAACAGTTCGTATAGATACCGAAAATTTTGATGCCGCCAATCTTGTCACTCCTTTTAAATTTTCCATGGAAACTTTTCTGTTGTAGCATATTGTATATGACTTGCCGTTCATTATTGGATAAAATTTTCAATTATTTTTATCTGACTAGATGTTTGTTCTGCTTCGTTTGTATTTCCTTCTCCACCAGTGATGTTTTCATCTATTAAAGAAAAAACTTTAAATAAATTACAATCATACCCTCAAAAAACCTCACAAGGAAATCAAAGATGGTACCATTATTATGAATGACTGCTGGAAATATAGGTGATCCCTCTTCCATATGCATCAACATGATTACTTCATCATATGGTTCACTATTTAAATCTATCAGAAAATGATCCATTTTACATGTCCTGAAAAATTTGAATTGAGATTAAGGTTTGTAAAATGCTTGCTTCCTTTTGTTGTTCATCGTCTTCATCAACGTCAAAATATGGTGGTTGTATATTTTGATTTATTCCAACTTCCATTTTTATTTTCATATTATAGAAACTAGTGAGTTTATTTATAATACAATTGTGGTGAGAATACATAAACAGTTTAGTATAAGAAGTGAGTAATGAAGTTTCTTTTCTTTTTTTGATTTTTCAATTGTTATGGTTATGAAGTTTGAAAGAATTTAGAGAGACAGACAATTAATGGATAATTGAGACTAAGGAGAGATAATAAGTGGGAGAGTACATTAGTGGAAGCAAAGAATTTAATGTAGACACCAAACAAAATAAATTACAATCAACTATGATAAGAAAGAAATAAATAAAATAATGTTTTTTGGTAAAACGGTATATTAGTTTAGATACACATTTTCTCCTCAAATTTAGCCATTTTTATTGGGTTTCTTAATAATTATGCAAATACCTTAAGGCTGCGGCTATATGCAAGACTAATTCCACTTGTGCAAGACTAAATTAAAATTTTCAATGTATAAATACTATAATACCCTTACCTTTTAAAAAATAGAAAATTCCAAATGTGCAATACCAAAAACTCAAAAAAAAAAAAAACCTATCACAAAACCACAAAACCAACTCTCATCTTCTCCATCAAAACCTTTCTCCTTCCTCATCTATAAACCCACAAAACCTAAAATTCAAAATCATCAAAACTCAACAAATCTTACAAAGATGGCAAGTATGGAGTCATAAGACATCAAAATAGAAGAATCTACAGTGGAAAAACACAAGAAAATATGCATTTATGTGTTTTTTGGCTAGAATATCGTTTTTTTCAAAAAAACAATCCTGCGCAACGCAGTCGACATATACATGTCGAATTTTATAGAAAAAATCGACATTGAGATGTCGATTTTGGAGTACAAAATCAACACCTTAGTGTCGAAATTTAATTGTTAGCAAAGTAGTCCAAATATACTAAATTTCGACATTAAGGTGTCGAATTTATGGACATATATTCGACACCTTAATGTCGAAATTTAGTTGTTTCGTATTTTTTTTAAATCCCGCGCAGACACGGTCGACATGTACATGTCGAATTTTATAGGTAAAAATCGACATTGAGATGTCGATTTTGGAGTACAAAATCGACATCTTAGTGTCGAAATTTAACTGTTAGCAAATTAGTCCAAATATACTAAATTTCGACATTAAGGTGTCGAATTTATGGACATATATTCGACACTTTAATGTCGAAATTTAGTTGTTTCAAATTTTTTTATTATTTGTTATTTGGTCTTGCATGAGCAAACAAAAGTCAATTTAATTTATGGGTACATTTGTCATTTCATCTTAATAAAATGGAATCTTTTGGAATCTTTCTTTAATTTGGTCTTGCACAAGTGGAATTAGTATTGCATATAGCCGCAACCATACCTTAAACGTAGATAAATTGGCATGGAGGGAATACATGGCATGAAATAGTGTTGTAAAATCAAAGTAATAATAAGATATGGGGCTCTTTGATAAAACCACCCAAAACTTTTATTAATAGGAGAGGTCCAACCCATATTTAACTTTTTGATATAGACCATGATCATTTCACTTCCTCAATAATTCTAAAATTGTCCTTCCACTATCTTCTTCCCACTACACCCACCCCATTTTGGTTTTTTTGTTTTATTAGTATTCATTTTTAATTTTTATATATTTATCTTTCTAAATTGTTTAAATTTGTTTTTTAAGTTCTTTTTTGTTATTTTTTTTTTGTTTTTTTAATAATTTTTTATTTGTCTGGTATATTAATCGACTACGATATTAATCGACTAACAGTATAGTCGGCTAACGAACTGACTGCTAAAATCATGGTTGAATAATGAAATTGACTCCTAAAAGTAACAAAAACAACCGTAATATCGTCAATGAAACCCAACACGATTCAACAAAAGAATCCAAACAATAACCAACTGAAATAGCTATAGAAAAAAACGAAAATCAACTATACAAAAAATGTATTGATTTATACAAATTGGAGGATGGATTGGCGATGACAAAGCAAAAACACACTACCGCTATGCCCCAAGACCGACAACACGTGGCAAAATTTGGAATCAAATAACCAAATCCAAAATTAATTAAAATATATAGCAATTAACCTTAATCGACTACTGAACATAGTCGATTAAATTAAACCTTTATCGACTATCTAAATTAGTCGATTAAACCTTCAATAGTCAATTACGGATCCCGCATGCGCGAATTTTCATCGTCGCGCCGTCCTCCGCTGATCTACCAAAAAAACCTTAGATATGCCTCCCCATCGTCACCACACCATCACCACCCCCCACTATCACCATTCCACACCGTCAAAATCAAGTCCACCGCGAAGACATTCATAAATATTTTATTACACCTTTTCATCTTTGGACGACCACCCAAGAGAAAGAGGGCCAAAACCACCACTAGCGCATCCATTCTGCCGCTGCCACGGTCCCACTATCGGAATCCTAAAACTACGCTCGAAAAGAAAGGTCTTAAAAACCAGCACCACCACCGCCTTCCTCTTCTGCAGCCCCCAAGAGCCCGACTGTCGGAGATCAATAAGTACAACCACCCAAGAGGAAGGTAGTCAAACCACCACTAGCGCCCTCCTATTATGTTGCCGCCGTGGAAAAGAGAGAAGAACAAAAGAAAAAAGGGGGACAAATGAGCGAAGAGAGAAGAGAATGGAAAAGATTTTCAGATCGTAACAAATTTGAGAAGTTAGGATTAGAGAACATGAAGGAAATTAATCTCATTAATGATAGTATTGACATTCACTATTTAAAAATTAGCTACAACATAACCTAAAGTGGTTTTCTCAAATTATTATTTGGGGGTCTAGCTCACATAATTTTCCCAAATGAGGGGAGTGCACTAGTTTTCCTATAATATGTTGACGGGTGTTTGTCTAGATGGAGAGACAGAGAGAGAGAAATTTGTAATATCATGTAAATGGCTAGTTAATGATAAATAATGGGGCTTACTATTCATAGTGCGGTTTTTTCCAGCTACAGTGCGAAATAATTCATTTGTCAAAAAACACTTTAACCTTTTACAAAATTCTCTCAACCTCCAAATATTTCAATTTTCGTAGATCATGATTTGTTTTCGTAGAAATCAATTAAAACCCAACGATTATCAAAATGGCCAACATCGATCCCGTAAATGAGGTAAAAAAATACGTTTTAGTGTGATTTTTTTCGATTTTCAGTCGTTTCGTGTAGAATATCACGAAATTATTCAAGTCATTTCGTGGTGTTTTGCACGAAATGAACACTTTATTCGTGTTTTCCAGTCATTTCGTGTACAATACTACGAAATGATAACTCTTATTTCGTTTACAGTCACACGAAATAGCAGTAAAACTGTTTTGTTATTCATTTCGTGCAGTACTGCACGAAATGTGTATATATATTTCGTGTAATTGTACACGAAATACCTAGTATTATTAAAAAAAAAAAATTCTGCAAGTATCTAACTTTTTTTTTTATTTACGCAGCCATATGATGACAATTTGTATTTTGATCCCTCGGTTTTGGATCAAAATGAATATGAAGATTTCTCTCACTTCTTCCAAGTTGATATTGTGTTCGATAGTAGGGAAGAATTAATCAACTGGGCCAAAGCAACTGCAGTTAGTCATTGTCACCGTTTGATTTATCAGTCTAGAAGGGAGAATGCACAGTACTTGACGTGTGATAAATACAGACATGGCCGACAAACGAATATCGATGTGGAAGATCCTAGAAACACAGGAACAAAAAAATGTGGTTGTCCGTTTAAATTGTTTGGCAAAAAGTCAAGGTTTGATGAATTATGGCGGTTGACTGTCAGCGATGGTAGGCATAGTCATCGTCCGGCTTTGTTTCCTCACGGACAAGGTACGACTAGTCGTATAACTCCACAACAGAAAGCAAGAATTAAAGAATTGCGAAATTCTCACGTGAAGCCAATGCTAATCATGGATAGATTGAGGAAAGATGATCCGACGATACAAACCTCTATGAAGCATGTTTACAATGAGTTGGCCAAGATTAAATCTGAGGAAATGGAGGGCATGACTGTTATTCAGTTTATGATGCATAACTTTCAACAAGGCGAGTATCGATATTGGCATCGCGTCGGTAGTGAAACGAGCAACACGATTACAAATATTATGTTTGCATGTCCCGAATCTATTAAGTTACTACGGCTGTTCCCGTATGTTATATTGATGGACTGCACATACAAAACCAATAAGTAATTAAAATTACGTTTGTTTAAATTATGATTATTGTGTTTTAATGTCTTGTATTGTTTAAATATGTAAAAACAACATTGTTGTAAGTATGCTATGCCTCTTTTGGAAATAATTGGGATAACTCCAGTTGGGAGGAATTTTACAATTGCTGTTGCATTTATGTTGCATGAAGATGCAGACACTTACGAGTGGACTTTGAATTGTTTGAAAGAGTTGCTAGATGGTGTCGAACCTGATGCGATCTTGACAGACAGGGAGTTGGGTCTTTTGAAAGCACTACCAAATGTCTTCCCATTTTCGTATCATATGTTGTGTATATTCCATATAAACAGAAATGTTGAGGCAAATGCGACGAAATTTATGGGAGGTAACAAAGACCAAGGTCTAATATTTCGACGTGTGTTGTGGGCTAAGCTGGTGAAATCAGAAACCGAAGAAGAGTATCATTACAATTACAATGAAATTGTTGGACGGTATGCAGGGTATCCTAGACTGATACAGTATTTGAATGATACGTGGTTGATATACAAGGAGAAGTTTGTTCGAGCCTATACTCGCAATGTGTATCATTTTGGCAACACGAGCACCAACAGGTATTACATGTTTTAGTTATTTAAATGATCAAATATATTATATTAAAATAATATTTAGTTTGTAATTTGACTGTCGTTGTATGCTTTGATTGTTGTTGTAATTGGATAGGGTGGAGAGTGCTCATTCTTCAGCGAAGGGTTGGTTAAATGCTTCGACCGGAGGTCTGGATAACGTGCAAGGCAAACTTCGAGACCAAGTTTATATCCAAATTAGTCAGCTGAAGTGCGATTTTTCACTATCATCCAAGATAAGGAAACATACTGCAGCATGGCCGTGTTTTCAGGGTTTGATTTGTTATGTTACGCATCTGGCATTAGAGAAATTGGATCAAGAGATGGAGTCCCCGGCGATGCAAGATCCGAGTATTTGCACACACTATCTTTGGAATACTCATGGGCTCCCATGCGCGTGAAAAATTGTGCAGAAAATGGAAGATAATGACACGTTCGTCATTTCAGACTTGCATCCATTCTGGAGTACCATGGCAGTTGAGCCTTCGGAGCTACCTGAGTATCAAGTAAACCGCGAGGAGATTGTGGATAGACAGATTGATGACCTGAATTGCAATTTGAAGAAGATGAATTACACAAGTAAGATAAATGACGTGGCCTCATTGCGTGGCATCGTTTATCCGTCTACGTCGCATCTGTCCGAGCCATCATTTGTTAAGACCAAATGACGACCAAAGAATAACTCGACAAAGAGAGACCCTTCCGGATGGCAATATCATATTGATGAGGAGACAATTAAGTCGTCTTGTGGTTCCAAGGGTCGCCAAACCTCATCTGGTGCAAAGATTCCTAAAGCAAAGGTTGAGAGAAACACCGATGGAACGCCTCAATCGAAGATGAAAGGTCGTGGTTCTCGTATTCCCACACAAGAATCTGCTGCCCCTACAATACCTGCACATGAAGGAATCGACTTTTATTATTTCGTGCCCAGATTTATGGTCAGTCTTATTCAAGATTATGTTAACGTGATGGCGGATGGCAACTGTGGGTACCGGTGCGTTGCTCAAGCCGTGTACGGGGGTCAAGAAAGATGGCCGCAAGTGAGATGGGAGTTGCTTATTGAGTTATACGAGCATGCTAATGTGTACACGGCGATGTTTGGCAGTACCGGATACGTTGAGGTCATACGCAAGTGTGACTGGACCTCAGGGCCTTGTCCACAAGCTTATTGGATGGACATGAATGAAATGGGATTGGCCATTGCTACCAGATACAGTGCATTAGTGGTACTTTTGACTCAAGTAGGGAGTATGACTTACCTTCCTATGTTTGGCAGTGGTCACTTATCATGTATGATTGTTGTGACATTGCACAACAATCATTTCATGTTTGTTAATTTGGTCGCGAATAGTCCTCTACCACCAATTCATCCGGCATGGGTACACCATAGAGCTAAAAACCTGAGGCACTTACTCAAAATGTACAAACCCCGACTACTCTTGTACGAACAATTAAAGTCTGGTCGGTAGTTCAATTTGTAGTTGTATTTGAATTCTAGTTCAATTTGTATTTATATGTGAATTTTAGATCAATTTGTAGTTGTATCTGAAATCTAAGTTGAATTTGTATTTGTATTTGAAATTTAGATCAATTTGTAGTTGTATTTGAATTCTAGTTCAATTTGTATTTGTATTTGAATTTTTAGGTCAATTTGAGTGTCTGAAATAAATTGGTTAATTAAAAAACAAATCAATTAGTGATTTCGTACTGAATTTCACGAAACATTACATTATATTTCATGGAAGAATCTACGAATTGTAAGGTACAATTTCGTGGAAAACTCCACGAAATATGTTGTACAATTTCGTGGGTTGTGCCACGAAATACACGAATTTTTTGAATCCAACAGTTTTGTCCCTCGTGTTTTATATCGATAAACACTTATATTTCGTGTAAACATACACGAATTTATTGAGTGTATTTCGTGTAATAATACACGAAATAGCGGGCGAATTTGTTTTTTTTTTAGGAAAGTTACAAATGAAATAAATCGCACTGCAAGGCGGTAAAAGTTGCACTATGAATAGCATTTCAGTAAATAATCTAATATGGAATTTCAATTATTGCAACGGATATTCATTTTCTTGCCCCAAAAAAATTAGACTCACGTGTTTTTGCCCCAAAAGAAGAAAAAGCCTCTCTCCCTTGAAACTGAAACCTCAAATCTCTCTCAACTCCAAATTCTGATTTTGACAAGTAATCGACGGGTTTGTTCCGATAAAATTGGGAGAAAATGAAAGATTATCAACATGGATCATCAGAAATCACCATCACCCAAGGTATAAATTTCGGCGAAACTCAGTTTTTTTTTTTTTTTTTTTTTTTTCGGTCATGAGTTCAACATGGATCTATCCGAACTCAACCCTTCCACTACGGATAGATCCATGTTGAACTCTCTTTTTTTTCCACTCTTTTTTACCGAACTTTGAACTCTTTGACTAAAATGCGTTCACTAATTATGTGGAAGTTCTACATTTTTAATCCAAAGTCGATGAAACGAGTTCAACCTATTCCGACCGAATTGTTCCTTAGTTACAATTTTCTTTTATAGTTCTTGTATAGATATGTGCATAAGTGCATTTGTTATATTCTTAATGTAGACTAGTTTTGATGATAACATAAACGTTGATGATACAATTGAGACATTAGAGCTTCGTGATTTCAGCGAATACTTTCAGATATCTACCATGTTCGAGAGTTCTCAAGAATTAGTTGATTGAGCGAAATAAGCTGGTCTTAGTCATAACCATATATTGGTAATGGGTTCTCACTACAAGACGAAAAGTGTATATATTACTTGTTCAAGGTCTTATGAGAGACGATCAAAAAAGAAATTAGATTTAGAAAATTGTCGAAGGTCTGGGACTAAGAAGTGTAATTGTCATTTCCGAACATAAAGTACAAAAAACCAGAAAAAGAAAAGATCAATGTTCCTTAATCATAAAAAGATTCAACAAAATATCAATGTTCAATTAATCAATTTCTTTGCTTTTATAATATTTTGAATAACCGAATTAATAAATTTCTAAAATTTTTTTTCCGAATAACCGAACTATTAATTTCAAGGGGACGAGTTCAAATAATTTTTTTTAAGTTATACAATCTCGCAACAATTAATTACTAAATTTTAGAAACAATTAAAAAAAATGTAATGGATAATTTTCATATTTCAAATTTTAACAAATAAAAAAAAAAACCGAAACTAATTAATTTCTAGGATTTTTAAATATACTGAATGACCGCACTAATAATTTCTTCTTTTTTTTTTTCAAATAACAGAACTATTAGTTAATTTCAAGGGGACACGTTCAATTTTTTTTTTTTTTTATGTTATACAATATCCGGAATGATTAATTACTAAAGTTTAGAAAAAAACAAAAAAAAAAAAAATATAACAGTTCAGTTCAACTGAAGCAAGTCAGACTCGAAGTATTGAGTTCGACTTTGTGCAGGCGAGCGAAGCTCAATTGTTTTTTTCCCAAAGGAAAGAAAAGAAAAAACCTCGAGTTCGACTAGCTCTAGCCGAACTCAGTGTATTGAGTTCGGCTAGATCTAATCGAACTCGCCAAAGTTGCTATTTTTTCCGCTTTCCTAATCTACAAGATGAGAGGATGAATTTGATGTAAAATTTATTTTCGATTTTGGCTGATTCGTGACGACTCAGGCAATTTGTTTGAAGGGGTAGAAAGAGAGTAGAGTGAAAAAGTGAGAGAGAGGAGAGAGATGAGAGAATGTTTGAAATATTTTGAGGCAAAATTATAAATATTTTTGCGTCGAACAATTAAAAATCGCCTGCATTAAACACCGTCTTGTAATATTTATACTTAAAGTTAGGGCTGTAAATTGGTCGGATCACCAACCAATCCATTTTCGATCTTATTTTTTTTTTGAATGGATGATCAACTATTAACCAACCCATTCAATTTAAGTCGAAATATCAACCAACCCATATATAGTTGGATCGATAATGATTTATAATATGCAAAAAGTTAGTCGGTCGGATAATATCCGTCAACTAACATTATTTATTATTTATTATTTTTTATTAAATTATCTAGTATTGAGTAAACTCAAAACACATAAACCTAATTACATAATCTGATTAACTCTTCTGAAGTACATTTGAATTCTTATTTGGTTCACTCTATTGAAAAACACATAAGATTTCAATATATTGTGTAGTATTTCTTATTTTTTATTTTTATGTTGAACCTTTTAAACATTAAGACATGTGGTCCAAAAATTAAAATATTTGAATTTTACTATAAATTGTTGTACTATTAAGTGCAACACATATATTTTATAATGTTTTGAAGTTTTTATTCAAATATTGTTGAATTAATAATATTGAATTGTAAGAATATATTATGGTTGTAACAAATCATTATCTTATCTATAATTATATAAAGAAACGTTGGGCAACCCTAAAAACCCTAATGGTATTTCTGTAATTATTTATTTTTAATATTTATTTTTCTCTACTAATTTTTAACTATAATTTTCAACAATTATAGAAATTGAAACTAAATCGCGAAGAATCCTATCCTAAAGTTACATCTGTAATTATTTATTTTTAATATTTTTTTCTCTACTAATTTTCTAACTATAATTTTCAAGAATTATCACTCGAATTTTTCATCAATATATCTCAACTTAATATGTAACATTTGTAATACTACATTATTAAATTTTACTATGTTAGTGTACTATATTTTCTTATTATATATTAAATTGATTATTCTTTTTCACCTTTAAAATAATATCCCGTGCATCGCACGGGAAAAAAATGCTAGTTATATATAAAACTAAGATACACAATAAAAGTTATCCACTTGAGGAGATTGAGTCCACATTATTTTGTAAATTTTAAAATAACCCCACTTACCATATTCACCCATATTATTAATGAATTAATTTCACATTATTGGTTTTTAAATTTTATCTCTCCTACATGTCAAAATGGTGTCTTTTTATTGGTTATTGAGTTTCTCTTTTTAATCCATTGCTTCATATTAAAAACGTAAATATATAAATGGACATTCCACTTAATTTGGGTTAATTAAATTTTATGCACAATATTATATTAATTGCCAAAAAACTCCAATTATCATATATATCATCTATCTTATTAATGGATTGATTTCACATTATTGGTTTTCAAATTTCATCTCTCCTACATGTCAAAATAGTGTCTTTTTATTGGTTAATGAATTTCTTTTTTATTTTATAAACAATATTTTGATTAAAAAAACGTAGGACTTAAGTGCAATTTTTTTAATTTCACAATTGAGTAAATTTTTAATTTCACAATTGACTAAATTATAAAACTAAGATACACAATCAGAGTTTTCTAATTGAGAACATTCAGTCCACATTGTTTCATTATTTTTTCAAAAAAAAAACCCAACTTCTATAAACAACCACCTAATTATCTATTTATTAAAACAAAAAACGTGGTTACCTAATTTGAATTGCACACCACACATGGCCAATTTGTGCATTTTAATTGGTTGATTTTTACCATTTGGCAAACTATCCATATATACAAAAAAATAATAAAATCCAAATTTCATACGTAGACAAATTATTCATTTTCATTGGATGATTATTTTCAACTTTTAATTTTAATTGCACACATGGACAATTCGTGCATTTTAATTGGTTGATTACATATTTATATTTAATTTATTACATCTTATTCGCATATCTAATATTATGTTTTCTCAACAAATATTTTAATTTTTAATCTATTTTTAATATTTATTTTTCATATCGTTATTTTATGAAAAATATTTACCAACCTATTAACTATATATTAATATAGATAAATTAAAATAGTATTTAATAATTCGTACATGGTAATGAAATCATCTATTATGATAACCGTAAGATCAATTTGGAAATGATTGATTTGATTGAATATAAATATGATAGGTAACTCTAAATATGGAGGTAAATATGCAATTATAGGGGTAATTATAAATTTCATAAAATTTGAACGATCACTTAATGTCTCTCCTTCCAGGTGAGGAGAATGTGTACCTAAGCTCATATAGTATGTATCGGGACGAGCAAACAACGGAGGATAATGCAAAAATCTATTCGACTGAATTTCTCAACACAATAAGATGCTCGGGGGGGTCCTTCTCATGTATTGAAGTCCAAGGTCGGTGCACCAGTTATGCTAATAAGAAACATTGATCAAGTAGATGATTGTGCAATGGGACCAGACTTCAAATTATTATAATCCGCATTCACGTTCTGCATCCGATAAAAATATCGGCGACATTGTGTTCATTCCTCGGATGACTTTAATACCATCTAACTCCGGACTGTCAATTCAATTTCCGAGAAAACAATTTCCGTTGATTGTTTCTTTTGCAATGACGATCAACAAAAGCCAAGGCCAAACTCTTTCTCATGTTGGTTTGTATCTTCCTCGGCTTGTCTTCAGCCATGGTCAACTATATGTTGCACTGTCCAGAGTTAAAAGCAGAGGTGACATTAAGATATTCATCAAGTGGGGTTTGGGCGAACTCACCGATGTTACTAGAAATGTCGTCTACAAGGAGGTATTTCATCGAATTTGAAGGTTGAAAATATGTTCATATTTATGAGTTCTTCATGTAACATGTCTTGGTTTTTATTTGTTTTAACACCTTACTCTTTATCAGGTCTATCTTTCCAATATGTTTTCCCACGTGCGTTTTATTTTCAGTCATGTTCCTAGGATGCTCAGTGCAAATCTTATTATCTTTAAGATTTATATATGTCGATATACTAACATTTAATATTATTCTTATATTGTAACTATGAAGAACATGATACTTATAACATATTTTTAATATTGTTGGTCGATGACGTTTTGTACTTAAATTAATGAGCGTAATAATTAATTTCTACGTAAATTTGTTTTACAGACATGTACTTCCAGTTGAAAATATGTCGCCCCGTGCATCGCCCGGGTGAATACTAGTTATTCAAAAAAAAAATGATTTGTATTATATACGTGGATAACTCATCAACCAACTCATCAAGTGATTTACAAAGTTGAATGTCAATCAACACCCAACCCATCTAAGTTGGTCCATTTTTTTCGAATTTATTGTAAACTGGATTTTTAATACAAGTTAGATTCCATATCTCAATCCCATTTTATTATAATCCAAAAACTTGCATATACTAGAAGAATAGTTGTTTCATTTCAATTTTTGAAAATTTGATTATTGTATTTTTGTTTTGGAATGAAATTGTAATTAGTTTTGAAAATACTAATTCCGAATCGAGCTATCCGATTTCCACCTAATTTAATTGAATTTTCCCCAAAGTACAAACATTCATCTACACGAAAAAGTACAAACTTTCATCTTCCCCAAAAAGGCTAAATCGGACCGGCCGATAAATTAGCCACCGGCCGGAGAGTAGGTCAGCTCATTTTCTCTGCCGTATCAGCTCAAATCAGCTCTCCTTTTGCAACCGTCGAATTCTCTCTCTCTCTCTCTCTCCCGATTGCAAATTGGTAAGCGTACTCTTAATTTATCTAGGTTTTGAACTCCCTTTTGCCCTAATTTTATTTCTTCGTTTTCGAGTTTTCCCTTCTTAATTTTTCACGCAAAATGATTCATAATTACTTGCATATTTTCCGATTATGTAATTTGCACTATTGTATTTTTCACTTTGCCTATGATGATGTTCTGTAGTTTCCGCCATTGTCAACTGTATGTAGTTTGCTGAGTTCCATTATTTTGATGCTAAAGTAAACTTGATTCCAGTTTTCTTTTTCTTTTTTTTCATATAATTTTGTTCAGTTCATGTGTGTTGTTTCTTTGATTCCTTTTATTTTAATTTTTCGCGTTTTTGACGAGTTCTTTGTTATTTTGATGAACGACGCAAGGCATTTGGGATGTAAGCGAATATGTAAGAAAATTACTAGGAAAAAGAATATAAGTGTGAAAAGGCATAATGTACTATGAACAAGGACGATGTAAACGGAGAGCTCTTACAGTCTTACTGATAGAAAACTAAAGAGCAACAAGTTTGTTAGTCAATGCACGGAAAATAATTGTTTTATTATATTAATATTTTTATTTTAAATTTCTTGCGTTCCTAATATGTACGTGATCTTTCCCATTGTTTTAGTGCCCCGTTAACTTGCAACGACTTATAGTCAATCTTTCTTCGGAAGTGACATATGAACTTCTCGTCATCCTATCCAATTTCACTATTATGATCCCACTCGAGATTGTATGAAACATTCACTTGACTATGGGTAATATGTCATCCGATGAGATAGTACAGAATATATAAATCGAGGCCCGACTTGGTATACGCAACTAATAGTTTCTTTATCATTGTACGGTTTGAATGTATGTTATCTGAAACCTGACTGTCATAGCTACATGCATCACGCATTTCATGTATGTATAAATGCATCTCGTTTATTTGACAGCTCAATTTGAAGGACTATATACATGTCGTATGAGTAGGGTTTTTGAAATGCATAATATGTCGCTCATCATATTTCTGTTCCTACTTCATAATCGAAACTATGTCTTGTCTGAAATAATGATTATATGTTAGGAATGGAGTTCACTTCTAAAGGCCACGAAAAGAAAATGGACAAAAGAAGGCGTAGTTGGTCGATGAAGGAAGAGGAAGTGTTGATCTCTGCATTGAGAGATATCGTAGCCAAAGGCTGGAAATGTGAAAATGGTTTCCGAACAGGATACCTGAGGTTACTCGAACGAGCAATGTTGAGATATTTTCCAAAAACAGACATTAGAGCCGAGCCTCACATAAATTCCAAGATCCATGTTTGGAAAAAATATCATGGATCGTTGGCATCCATGTTCGGAGTTAGTGGTATCGTTTGGAACGATTCGACCAAAATGATTGATGCTCAAGATGATGCGTGGGATACGTATGTGCAGGTACATACCTTTTTTCCGGGATATCACTATAGTGTATAATATAATTTATATGGTTCTTTCGGGATAGAGCTATAGTGTATAACTTACTTTAACATTCAAACGGGGTAAAAGACTCTTAGAATAAATAGTAAACCTATAAATACATTATTTATTTTTCAGAGAGATACAAACGCCCGCACAATGAGATATAAACCCTGGCCGTTATACCCCTATTGGTGTGAAATATTCGGCAAAGATAGAGTTACTGTAGCTACTAGGGAAATCGCCGAACATTTCGCTGACGCCGTTCAAGAAATGGAAACAAATAAAGGCAAAGAGAAAGAAGCACCGCCGGAATTCGGTGCCGTCTTTGAAGGACTCGATGATGAAAACGAGCTGTCCGTCTGTCAGCCCCAAAGCCACGACGAGACTGAGAAGAAGCAATCTCGGAAGAAGAGAAAGACGTCGTCAGAGTGCGACTCGGATCCTTTTGTAGCGGCCATCAATATTTTCTGCGACAAATTGGACGCGAGGTTTGAAGATATCGCCCGAAGAATTGGGTACGAATACGATGTGTCGAACGCTAGGAAAGAAGTGTATGCTGCACTTGGGAGAGTTCCGGGACTAAGCATTCCGCAGAAGTTGACCGTGGCGAAGTTTCTCGTGAATAAAAACGGAGACTTGGATCTTTTCTTCAGTCTTCCGGATAAGGATAGAGTTGAGATGGTTTATATGATATTATCTGGGAAATATTGATTTTCGATGGTTTACGAGTGATTGTTACCACTTTTTGGCTCGAAGATCGGACTTGTACTCTTCGTTTTTTTTGGCAGATTTGTATATTTTATCTTTGGCTGTCTACTTCATCACCTGTTTGTTGTATTATATTAGGGTTTTTTATTATCGTAAATTTGTTGAAGAAATTTCTTCGTTTTGTTTTGGATGTTCCAGTCGGGATTGATTAGCAACTGGCAAGCTCAAGTGTTAGTTACTGGTGTGACTTGTGTTACTAGTTGCTAGAATTTTCAATTATCATGGTGAGGTATAAACATTGCTGAATGAATTTGACGATAAATCTCCGATCGGGTGTTGCTGATTCCAAGTTTTTGCTTCGTTTTCTCCACCTCGAAGCCGTGGTTTCTATCAAGCTCCATCTGCGGTCAAACTACACTGAACTGAACGTGCACGAAATCTCATCAAAGAGCTGAAACAACCAGAGTATGCAAAACTAACCGAACATGCGCTAAAAAAAATGCACAAAGGCTTGCTTGATGACTTCATTCTTGTGTCATTTAGAGGTAGGGGTGTAAATGAGCTGAGCTGGCTCGATATATATATATATATATATATATATATATATATATATATATACTTTATTCTATAACTTTTTATTTTTCATATAAATAATTTGTAATAAAAACTAAAATTAATATTATATAAAAATTAGAAAAAAAATAGAAAATATAGAAAAATATAAATGAGCTAAGCTCGAAAAATCTGGTGAGCTCGAGCCGAGCTCGACTCATTTACACCCCGAGTTAGAGGTATGTAAGCGTACTTTCGTAGCGCTAACAAATACTGGATACAATAAATTCTGACAAAGTTTCTTATGGGCCTAAACCGAAAATCTTAAAGAGAAGTCCAATGTCAAAGTTGTTAGTCTAAGCCAATTATGTACTACAGCCCATATATATCCACTTTATTGAAGGAGTAGCACAATTTCAAAAACAAGGTGTATTTAAATCTTTGATTTATTTGTAGGTCTTCAGCCCATAATTAAATTAATTTTAATTACAAATAGCCTAATTTCCATTATAGGTAATTAAATCACTAATTTTTTCAAGTTTTGAAGCTGACTTGAGCGTTGAAGAATAAGAATTATGTCAGAACCAAGAACTGACGCCTTAATGCTTGTTTATGACGTACTTAACACAACCGGTCATTCAATCGAGAAATAATTTGGAAGATAAATTGCGGTGACGCGAGTTAAATTATTTTTGACTACATGAGTCCCTATCTTCGAAATTGGCTCTTCTTGGTGTTAACCTTAAAACCTTAAAAGAATCAAACTTTTGCAGGTAATCAAATCCTTCAACCATTCACAAGTTGAGATTTTCTTGCATCTTATAAAAGACATTGAAATCGAACTCAGCAGCTTGGTAATTGGTTAATCAAGCAATTAATTTAATAAACTACATTTATTTTATTTGTTTTTTTTCCAAATAAATAAAAGAAATAAAAAAATATTGGTACCACAGCCATTGGGCATTAATGTGTTTGCAATTAAGTTGACATAAATAAGGTGCAGGATCATGTTTGTGAGTAGGTATTATCATTTATGTTGCTCACATGGCCTTTTGTGTTTGTAGCATGTAATGAAATGATATTTCCCCATCAATTTAATAGTGTATTATATATGCAACCAAAATCTCATTAAAAAAAACAAAACAAAAAAAAAAGAAAAAAAACAAGTTCATGATATATACAGTTAAACCTCTATAAATTAATACAGTCGGGACTAGTGAAATACTATAAATTCAGCAAATTATCAAATTATCGAACTAAAAATTCAGTATGTTTATGCAGAGTCGGCAATATGGTATTAAATTATTATTTAAGCGATGATATTTATTGATCGAGTATTAATTTATGAAGATTACATTGTACTGGACACTAGATTTATGTAGGTTTGTTGTGTCTACACTAAAATGGTCACATTATTGATGTGCTATAATGCTCACCATTCAATGAGAAAACTGTACAAAAATTTTATAGGTCAAGAAATCAAACATTTATGTGGCTTTAATTTGAATTGAAAATAAATAAATAATATAGTACAGATATTATGGGACGTGACTCGGTCTTTGGACTATGTAAAGACTATGTAATATCTATAAATCACCGACTCTCTATAAACTTGAACTACTAAATCTTTATGAATTTATACACCGGGTTAAATTACGGCCAACCCTCTCGTAATGCCAAATTAATGAAAATGTCAATTTTGTTTGAGTAATTATAATTACTCCATTTACTATAAATCTTGTTACACGTCTATAATATTCTAGATTGCGTGGAATGTTATCTAATTTATACTCGTTTTGTGCAAAAATGCAGTTTCTGAATGCATCACAATCTGATATTTACAAGTCAATAGATACATCTTATGATCATCTTGTTTCAAATAAATGTGGAGCTCGAATGGGGTAAAACGAGTATGAACTGGAGAATATTACATATAATCTAGAAGATTTCACTAAATTTGACACCGCAATGGTGAACGTGTAAAAAGATTCATAGTTAGGGGTGGTTATAATTACCCAAACATGAGGTGGTTTTCGTAATTTGACCTTATCGCAGAGGGTAACTGTAATTTACCCTTATATATATATATATATATATATATATATATATATAATATAATATTTGCACAAAATAAGACTAAGTTATATTGTATTATTTTCATTGTTTAAAATTATATCGGTTACACAAATAAAATAGTCATTCGCAGATAAAATATTCATGTTTTAACACTTTTAAATGGTCATAAACGAGTACAAATATAAATAGGGTAAATTACAATTGCCCCCAACGTAAGGTTTATTTACGAAAAAAACTCCTCATTTTGTCTACATCCACCTGCAATTTGTAGATTTCTCACATTAACACCATTTTGTAGGGGTACATATAAGAAAAATACAAACTGCAGGAGTTGGATGTAATTTGTAAAAAACAAGGATTTTTTTTGCGTAAATAGACTTTAGCTCAGAAAGGTGGTGCTTAATATATCTAACCCAAGTATGAACAAATTTATACATTACTTTTACCTCTTATACACCAAATTTCTTAACACCAACATCACATAATATTACATTCACCTTTCATATGCATTTCAGATAACAATTCACATAACAAAACTATCATATCTACTTAAGAACAAATGTATGGCAAATTAACATGACATAAAAAAAATGCGTTTAACATAAGTGACAATTGTCAAGCAAGTCAAGCATTACAAAAAAACAAACACAATATCATTATGACATTATTAAAAGTTATCACTAGAAATTAATAATATTTTATATATTGTAACTAATAGCTCATTTTGTTGTTATTTAAATTTTTTTAGTGACACTACATAGAAGTGAAAAACATATTTTATTGTCACTATACAGAATTAGTGATACACCGTTAGTCTTATTAGTGGCAATGTTGTTTTACCTAACTATGTCATAATTGGTGTTGTTACTCCAAATATTATTTCTTGTCGTGTCGGTGAGCTTAAACACTAGGAAAATGGAAAAGAAAGGCCATAAATGGATCATTCTTCATGCAAATCTATTCATTGTTATGTCCCTTCAAATCCAAAATTTAGAATTAAAAAAATAAAATGCCTTAAAAATGCACCAAAATTGAAATTGAAATGCCCTAAATCACAATGACGCCTCTTCAAAGCAGACACGTAACGTCTGAGAGTCGTGACGCTTGAACGTGTGTAAAATTTCTTACAACTTCGATTATTGTCCGGTTTCCATCGATTGATTAGATCAACTAATGACGGTCTTGATAGGACCTTTATCAGAATGTTGATTAGAACGCCTTGCAGGGCGTGGTCTTTTTTTTTTTTTTTTTCTCTCTTTTAATTAGCGATCTAAGCGCAATAAATAAGAAGAAACACAGAAAACAAGATGTACTAGAATAAGTACATTCACCTGTGAAAATTAAAACCAGTGATTTGTGTTTTTTGTCTCGGTGGAACCGAGCAAAAGATGGAGGAGAAACACAAAAAAATAAGATTGCAAAGAAAAATAAGAGCAAATAATTTATGGTGGTTTCCTTTGCAGCGGAAGCGCGAAGAATAAGAATAAACACCATAAATAAGATTGCAATGACAAATCAAAAGGAGTTTTAATTTATGACGTTTTCCGTCTCGATAGAACCGAACGATAAATGGAGAAAAAAAAAAGAACAATAATAATATAACTCTCATAGACTTATACCATGAAAGAATACTTGATAAATTTGATTTGTGTTATTTTCACATAAAAGTACACTGTTTATAATAAGAGATATAAGTCTAGTTACAATCTAACTAAAATTTTATTCTAAGTATAATTCCATAATAATAATTCTAATTATACTAACAACACTGACATGATACAATATGTACATCATAAAAATATATATGGTACACGACAAAAGGTTATCATCAGGTAATTTACAGCAACTGGCATTCTTTAATGTTTGATCATTTGGCCGACGAATAAGAACTTTAGAACTTCAAAATTTGTAATAACTAATAACTAATTCATTAAACTAATTTGATGATTTTCTTGATGTATACAATAGATTTCAAATTCTTGATCTCTTACTTTAAATACACATTAAGCTACTCACGTGGGTTATTTCTATACTACACCCAGTGAAGACTAACTCGGATAATTTTTTTACCGTATGATCTATATACATCATTATGGGTGTGTGTGTGTGAATGGTAAAGATTTACCTGACGAATTCCACTTCGTGTAACATAGAATAGACATGTGGATTTGAAATTTGCTCCTTTTGATTTTTTTTTTAAATATCTCTTTAGCCATAAAATATATTTTATGTGTTTTAGGGTTTAATTATTTGGCGATATAAATTATTTTTTCTTTTACAATATTATCCTATACCATTAATGAATATTTTAATTTATTTCTAGAGAACATACTATTTACTAGCTTTCTTATATACTTTGTAGAGGGTAATTTTAGATGTCTATCAAAATGAAATGAATATTTTATATCTCAAATGATATATGTCGTTTTAATTTTACTATTAACATTTCGACTTGAGATGTGATTTTAACCATTTTACAACTATGTTAGTTTGTGTTGTCTAATTAATACAACTTGAATAAATTAAATTGGATGTCAAGTGAAAGAAATATGCATCAACAGCTATAATTTGAAAACTTAGAAAATCAACATATGCACCGATTTTTTACCAATTGTATTCGTTCATTCATGTATAACTCTCTCTCATCCGACATCCAATTTACCTTATTCAAGTTGTATTGAAAAGTCAACTCAAAAGACAAAAAATTCGGTGTTATTTTGTCTAACTCACACTGAAAAAATGATCAAAATCACATTTAAAGTCGAAACGCACTAATAAAATCAAATCAACATTTAGCAACTCCCATGCATTTTGTGCATCATTCCCTCAAATCCAATCATTCATTCCAAATACAACAAATTGAATGACTATAATACACGAAATCATTGTCGTATATATATAGGTACTCAATTCACTCCCAATTTTATAATTAAGATTAGGGTTTCCTTTTTCATCTTTCCTCATTTGCATGCATGTATCCAAACAATTAAGATATATATCCAAAAAAAAAAGTAAATAATAAATTACCAAGTTATTATTTATTATCCACCTGTACGTACAACATGGTAAAAATTATATTGTTGTATGAATAAATTACAAAAACGACCTGCCTGCAAACAACTGTCCAATTGAATACAAGAGAGCTACCATCCTCACCTGCTTTGCAGTGTTATTATGATTATCATGTTCACCATATGCTCCATTCAATATACCCTATATTGCCATATTAATAACTTCCAACTGTTTTTCAACCATTATATTATATTATTTATTTATTGTAAATGATAAATTCAGGATGATTTTTAGTAAATGTAGGTCATTTTTTTTAATCTCACTTTACACATTTATCATCTCTTTAACTTTATTGTTCTAGCCGTTGGAGTAAGTGAATTCGTGTTAATTGACTCAAGTTCAAATCCTCTTGCCAACGGTTGCTAGGTCGAGCTTGTCACATATGCAGGTTAGCGCCCTAATGTGGTTTACATCTCTCGTATGGTTTGCAAGCTATTATACGAGAGTTTACTTTTACCTAATGCGCACCTATACGGTTAGCTGCGGGTTCCTTCATTACCAAAAAAAAAAAACTTTATTGTTCTAATTTCTAAATAAAATTCCTATGTTTCACTTTATTATATTTAAATTTAATTACATTTAGTGTTGTTGAATTTAAAATTCCAAATTAAATTTTGAAATTTTAGAATTAAATTAGGGGAATTATCTAAACTCGAAATTTGTCAATATATTTGTCTTGAAAAAAAAAATAGAGGTCTCTACTTAGAGAAAAGAGTTTTTGGGTGATTTTGTAGATTCCTGTTACTCTTCAGTTTTCTGTTGAGGTCTATCCTGTAGAGGTACTAAAATTGGATCAGTATTAAAAACACACAAAAAATTGATAAAATTCGAACGAGGAAAGCTTCACGAATCCACAAAAAACAAGCGTATGCGATAGACAATAGTCTGAGTTGTGTTCAAAATTTGAAAAACTCAGTAATGATTAATAATTCGATACTTTGCTGCAAAATAGAGGTTTGAAACAAAAAGATGATGGAGTTCCTGCTAGGTTTTAATTTATTAAACAAAATGTATTACGTTTACTAAAAGGTGTCCTGTATTTATCAACACCCTTTATTTATTTAATTAATTAATTAATTAATGTCCTCATCTTCTTATAAACACCCATACATACTTCTCATTTTTTGCATCCAACAATAGCAACTTTCCTTAGCTTTTAGGGTTCATTGAAAAACCTGGCTACCTAATAAACCAGGTTTTTCTTTCACATATACATATATAGAACTCTTGTTAAATTCTCCACTACAATGGCTTCCTTTTATAGCATTATTATTTCGGCGGTGTTACTGTTTTCGGCAACATTGCTTATTTCTACTACACGAGTTGAGGGCAGAGCATTTTTCGTGTTCGGGGATTCGTTGGTTGATAGCGGAAATAATAATTATTTAGCCACGACTGCTCGTGCGGACGCACCGCCTTACGGGATCGACAGTCCGTCCCATAGGGCTTCCGGCCGGTTCTCTAACGGCCTTAATATACCCGATCTTATCAGTTGAGTCGTCGTCGGTTATTTATATTTAATATATATATTTATAATGTTAAATAATTTTTTTTTTTTTTTGAAAATTATAATGTTAAATAAATTAATGATGGTAATTTAATTATTAGAGATTTTGTTGTTTAAATAATTTTGGCAGGTCAGAGCATTGGTGCTAGTGAACCACCATTGCCATACTTGAGTCCGGCACTTTATGGGTCAAGACTATTGGTCGGAGCCAACTTTGCTTCCGCTGGTGTTGGAATTCTTAATGACACTGGAGTTCAATTTGTAAGTATTTATTTATTTATATATTTGTATATTATTTAATTATTTAATTAATTAATATGTCTTGGTACTTTTAGTAACACAACATACTATAAATATATTTTTCAAAGTGCATTTTTAAATTTAATTAATAGATCTATGTAATTATAAATATGTCCCACCATGGTACTACAACATCTATAGCTAGAAGACAATGTGATGAAAATAATGCATATATATATATATATATATATATATATATATATATATATATATATATATATATATATATATACTTAATTATTTATATTTTCAATAACATTTTACAAACTTTTTTAACTCAAAAATCAAATGTTTGAATATTTTTTTTTTATGTTCACTTCTCTCATTATAAGTTAATTATGTATTGAACTCAAACGAACTTTACTACAAGTTTCTTCGGAAAACTACCAACATTACTAATTAAAAAGTAGCCCAGTTTCGCACAATTACTAATGAAATACTCCATCTGTTCCATAATATCTGTCACTTTCGATAATTATTTTGTATTATATTATATTTCACTTTAAAATTCAAATATTGCATTGATTACATATTTTTCAGTTATGCTCTTATTAACTCTCCAATACTCTATCTGCATTAATCAGTAAATAAGGGTATTTTAGTCTAACAATATCTATTTTCCTAAAATCAAGACATATTTCATTGAGTTTCTTCAGATGTGTTACAGTATGTGAAAAACGACACTTATTTAGTAATAAAATTTTAAATTTTTGCAGGTGAACATAATAAGAATAGGGCAACAATTGCAATATTTCCAACAATATCAGCAAAGGATAAGTGGTTTGATAGGTCCTGGAGAGACACAAAGGCTGGTAAATCAAGCTTTGGTTCTCATTACTTTGGGAGGAAATGATTTCGTTAACAACTATTATTTGGTGCCCTTCTCCGCGAGATCTCGTCAATTCGCTCTTCCCGATTACGTCCCTTATCTCATCTCCGAATACCAAAAAATATTGCTGGTATATTTAATTTCTTCACTCAATTTTTCGTTAAAATATCGTAAATACCCTTCTAGTAACTACTATCATTAGTAGTTCTTTTAATTTAATTTTATTTTTGTATAAATTATTTAAAAATAAAAGTTTAGTTCTTACAAAAGGTTTCTATTGTATTCTCTAACTAAATAATATTATTTTTTAATTAAGTAAAAAAAAATGTTGTGATATATATATGCAGAGGCTATATGAATTGGGGGCAAGAAGAGTACTAGTGACAGGAACGGGTCCACTGGGTTGTGTGCCAGCTGAGTTGGCCCAACGAGGCAGAAATGGGCAATGTGCACCTGACCTCCAACAGGCTTCTGCACTTTTCAACCCCCAGCTGACTCAGATGATACTCGGTCTCAATGCGCAACTCGGTGACAATGTCTTTATTGCCGCCAACACTCAACTCACTCACTACAACTTCATCTCCAACCCTCAAGATTTTGGTATACACTACTTTCTTTTATAATAATTTCATCTATAACTTTTTTTTTTTTAGATTTCTTTTTTGCATTAATTTGAATTTTAAAGGAAAAAAAATTGTATTTGCGGGTGGGCTTAGTCCCTGCAGGAATTTTTTTTTTTTTGGTCAATTTTTAATGCTTTTTTTTTTTTTTATTATTATTAATTATCTACTACTTTTGTTCTATAGCCTCCAAAAAAATTTTTAGCCCCACCTACTTGTACGGTCAGGGTCCGCCCCTGAGTCCACTCTAGCGCCCGGAAAATATGTTATCTTTCGAGTAGTATAGTATTTTCAGCCTCTAAATTATTTTTCGTGTGTGGTTTTAATTTGATCCCACATAAATAAAATTCTGGCTCCACCACTGAATCCAGAATACGACAAATAAAATTGAGCTCTCGTTTAGTAGCTTGATTATGGGGTCGCGTCGCGTTCCGCAAGTATTGTAGCCATAAATATTTTGCATGTATGTATGTATATATGTATGTATTATATAAATTGATTGATTGGGTGGCGTACGACGTGCAGGATTCGTGACGTCGAAGGTGGCATGTTGCGGACAAGGACCGTACAACGGGCTCGGGCTTTGCACGGCACTATCGAATTTGTGCCCGAACAGAGACATATACGCATTTTGGGATGCGTTCCATCCTTCCGAAAGGGCTAACAGACTCATCGTTTCGCAAATCTTTACCGGCTCCGTCGAGTATATGAACCCGATGAATCTCAGCACCATTATGGCCTTGGATTCAAGAACATGATCGTACGTACGTATACGTTTCTACGTAATTGCGTACTTCATCTATATATTTTATGTGTGTTTTAATATTGTATACTTAATTATTATTTGTTTTAATTAAGACAATAACACGCTGTTATTGAGAGTTGCTAGGATATTATTACATTTGTTTGAGGATTTTCTGAAATATTGTTTTTTGTAAGTTGTAACGATATCACATCTAAGTTGTGATTTTTAGTTAGATGTGTGTGTTGTTTTCACCTCTTTCTATTCAACTGTATTGTCCAAGAATTTTGGAATTTAAATATTTTGAAACCATTTTTTTGTTGAATGAAATTTAAATACTATTGAAAGTTATAATAATCTTAATTAAAATCCAAAGACGAGATTTAAAGTGAAATTAATTTTAGCAATTAAAGAAAGTGATAATTGCACCATTGTTTGATCTCTAATACTTATGATATACTTTATGAAGAGTAAAAAAATGTGTAGACCAAAAAACTAGTTGACATAACACACACCAAATAATAGTGTAGTTAATATTACGATGTACCGCGATATTTATTGTGGTACAATAAGGTTTCTAGAAAAAAAAAACGATACAACTCGGCATTGTATCGTTTGTGATTAAATACCGGCAAATATCGCTCGATATGGCGTTACGATACGATATCCGATACCATACAATATTTATGATACTTGTTTATGTGGTGATTTTGTCGATTTGCAGCACATTTAGTGTTGATTTGTGCAATTTTCAGCACAGTTTGGGGTGATTGCGTTCTGTGAGATTTTCAACACTTATTAAAGGGCAAATTACGATTTACGGCCACCCCTGAGCTATGGTCAAATTACGAAAATCCCCCTCTTGTTTGGGTAATTACAGCCACCTCTCAACTATGTATTTATCTTACGAAAAGACCCCTCCAGAGGTAAATTTAAAGATGTTAATTTGGTAAAACCGGACCAAAATTTCGGTACGCCAACATTTCATACCGTTTAGCGAACAAAATATACGATTTGGTTCGGTAAATAACCAAATTACATAAATTTTACGTAAAAATATTTAAAAGGAGGGGGGGTGGCTGTAATTACCCAAACAAGAAGGGTTTTTTCGTAATTTGACCATACATCAGGGGTGGCCGTAATTTGCCCCTTATTAAATTACAATTATGCGTTTTTTTATTTTATTTTATTTTTTCTTATTAAGGTAAAACCAAGGAAAAAAAATACTTCAGATAAATTTTATTGTTCTCCCAATCAAACTAACAAACATGTATTTTTTTAGTCGAAAACCAACAAATTTGTTGAACATCACATAAATAAAAGGGTAAGTAGCATTAAACCACCTAAACCTTTTAAGTTTTTACGGATCACCGCCTCAACAAACTATTTTGCACGAGTCCAACTGTACTCAATTAATTGGAGGGATGAATTAGAGAGAAATAAATGAGATAAAGAGAAAAATGGAGGGAAAACTGAAAGAATTACGGCTTCTTATAAATGGAAAAGACAACAATAGCCTTGGATTTCGCATGTGCAATGGCGGTGGGTTCAGAACCGATCATTTTGACATGAAAACGGGCAAAAAATAATGAAGTGAGACAATTAATTGAGTACAACTGAACTCGTGCAAAAAATAATTGTTCAGGAGGTGATCCGCAAAAACTTAAAAAGTTGAGGTGGTTTAATGTTATTTACCCTAAATCAAAAGCAATTTATATTAGCAAAGGTAATAAAAACCACAATAACATTTTACAAATTATGATTTTTGTCATAGCTAATAATTTAATGTTGAAACTTTAATTTAGATCTATTTTGAATGAATGGTTTGACTTCGAACTATTAAGTCTTACACGTTTATTGTACTTTTATTATATAATATATATTTTGTACCATTTTTAATAATTAATCGATACAATACGATACGATAAATAATACGGTACGATATATATAGAAGAAAATAATCCTCAATAAAGATGATATATCTACCCAACAAAATTAGGTCTAAGGATAATACTGAAAAATAAATGCGAGTCCCAACACTAGTACATACTCAAGCTACTAATTCTACCATAGGCATCTTAAATACCTTTAGTGGTGTGGACGTGCGTGCAGTTCACGTGGTTGTTGAACATTAAATTCATTTGTACCAACTCATTCAATTTCAAGATATAATAAAACATCCATAAATTAATAATTTCGTTAAAATAATAAGTTTTCTCTGGTCTCGACTTAGAGACAACATGCTAAATAATTGTCTTGATAATTTAATATTTCGCTAGATTAATAGAATTTTGTTAGTCCGAACTATATGAAGATATTTGAAAGCATAATTGAAGAATTTGTTCTTGCTTCGAAACAGTTGGCTGCAATCAGGTACAAGTGGGCTTCTGAAACTTGCCATGAACCCATACTCTTTTCATTATCTTCCCATTTCGCCGATTTACGGACTTCACACAGCAATATTCTAGCTCCATCTACAAAACAGAGGACCGACTTTCAGTACAAAAATAACACGACTTTCAAAAAAAACACAGCATTTACAGCGATTGTTTTACATTGTTTCTGCAAATTATAATGTTAAGAAGTAATTATTACATAATCGCCCCTCTCCATTACAAGATTTTTCAAAGGATCGAATTCAGATTACGGTAATCGAGCATAAATTTGTCAGTGAGGGGGGCATCAATACGAAGCTACTCGAAAAATAATTAATCTCAACATAAAAAATCCCGCGTTTTGAAAATTATTGCCACGACTTCTAATTTTTACCATTTGAGCAGGAAAAGAAATGACTTGCAATGTTGACATGAAAATAAAGTCAAATGGGATCTCAAAATAAAAGTATAATTTAGGGCAAATTACGGCCACCCCCTGAGGTATGTCCAAATTATGAAAAAACCCCTCTTGTTTGTGTAATTACAGCCACCCCCTCCTCTTAAATATTTTTACATAAAATTTACGTAATTCGGTTATTTACCGAACCAAATCGTATATTCAGTTCGGTAAACGGTATGAAATGTTGGCATACCAAAATTTCAGTTCAGTTTTACCGATTTAACATCCTTAAATTTACCTCTAGAGGAGTATATTTGTAAGATAATACATAGTTGATGGGGTGGCTGTAATTACCCAAATTGGAGAAGGGGTTTCGTAATTTGACCATAACTCAGGGGGGGCCATAATTTGCCCTATAACTTATTTTGTTCGAGGAAAATTAGTATAATATAATACCTCAGTGAAGCCGGCAGCAGAAGCTAAGCTTCGAACAGTGTCCAAGCAAAAGAAAAAGGACCGTGTTCTATCTGGCCGCAAATATTCTCTATATCCCATTCTTCGATCAGGCCCAAATCGAAGCATGGTCATGTCATAAAGACCTGTACCATCACAAACAATAGTATATTTATATCGCGCCACATCAGCAAAAAAAAAAATTGTCGAATTTTACGATTTTGCTATTACCATAGTCTCTGAATAATAGGAGGCCACCTGGCTTTAGAACATCAAAACAGTGTTTAATGGCCTTAGGCATCCTGTCAAGTGGTAAGGCCGATAAAGTGAATATCTGGCATAATAGATAAAAACACTCAGATTCCAACGACTCTTTAAATATTTCTTCGAGAATTAGAGAAACTAGATTAGAAAATTACCAAGGTAACAAAATCTGTTCCACCTATGCAGCATTTCGTTTCGTCGGGGCAGACTGGATTAACGTCGTTTATCTCGTAACTGCTGTTCACACCTGGAAAAACCATAAACGATGACGTGTCGCACAAACTTACTTTCGGAGATGAAAAAACCCAAAATTACGGATAGTAATAAAATGGTACCGGAAAATCCTGAGGAACGCTTCTGCGAGAAATCTCGTGAGCAGTTATTGCAGGACAACAATGAAGGAAACCCGGTTGTTGAAAAATCACATAGGAATGGGTGAAAACGATGTATAGTGGATATTGAATTAGCAGCACTAACTATATGTTTAGCCCTCTCAAGAGCCTCGTTGCTGCAGTCGCATGCGTACAAGATGATGTCCTCTCGTCCACTGCACGAAAAGAACCAAAAGTCAGCTAACCGGAACCGGAACCGGAACCGGAACCGGAACCGGAACCGTGGTCATGTCTAATCATAGGTGGTAACCATTATTTTGCCGTTTTTATCGACTTTTTATATTTGCAATTTTTAGTACAATTTTTTCGTCAATTAGGTGAATATAGAGAAGCAACATAAATACTAACGGGAAAGGCACATGCGCAAGTCAACAACATAAACAAAGGGGCTCCGACATGTATAAAAAATAAAAAAACAATATCGAGAGAAGTAAATAACTACTAGTAAAAAATACTCGACAAAATTGTAGATGATGACTAATTTAATGATTACCGCAATATTGGTAGAGCCGTGCTGCCATTACCACATCCTACCTCCAAGACCTTTGAATTTTTCTCGCAAGACGCTAGCTCCGGAAATTCCTTCAACAAGTATCGCCTCTCCTGCCACAAAATTGATGTTTAAAACCATATTAAACACGTAAGGATGAAACGAAACTATATATTTAAATTCCACCACAAAATTTAACCGTGACATATGGAAAAAGGTTTATCTCTTTACAGCCAAAGGTTCGTTCCATTGACATGCTAATCCCCGTGTTTATAAACGTACATTATATTTTTTTCTTTAACTAAGGTAAGATCGAACAAACACTAAGGTCTCCCGTTAGCATGTCACAAACACGGTTTCCGATTTTAATTCCCGATAAAATACGAAATGTGCAAGTTCTTTCTATAAATCATGTGCCGTTTAATCATGAAGCGAAATGACGGGTCAACTACACTTGCACTATTAGCCGCCATAGAAAGAAAACCAGTAAAAAAGCTATATTGATGAACAAAATGTACCACAAGTTTAATAATTAAGAAAATAAAATTATTTTCATTCTATCTAGATTATGTACTTTTTGCCCCTTGCACAGTTCAATGCCCAAATACTAAACCCTAAATTCCATTAAACACTAATAATTAAATTCATTTGTATTTACAATCAATCAACGATAAAATAAATTAATAGTAGTAGATTTCTAATAGTGTAGAGAAGATGGCTTAAATTTATATATATATATGAAATGAATTTAACTTGAGAAGATAGAACAGAAAAATTAAAAAAAAAAAGTAATTGTTTTTCATGGTTGAAAAAGTTTTAACCTTGAAGAATTTGCCGGTGGAATGACGAGCATGAAATTGATCCCACGCTTGGGAATCTTCTTGATGGGCTTCTTCTTCTGCATCTTGATCGGCGATTTGATTCGGAGAAAAAGGGAGAAAGTGAAATTGAAAAGAGGGATTGTTTTCGACTTCCTCTCTCAACTGCTCCCAATCGAAGTCTTTGGAGTAATAATTTTCTGCTTCCCAATCTTTGCTGCTCATTGATTTTTGTTGTCTTCAAACCGAAGAAGAAGAATATGATTTTCCGAGCGACTTTTTTGGTAAATTACAAAAAAACCGCTGAGATACGGTCAAATTACGAAAAGACTCTTCATGTTTGGATAATTACATTTACCCATCAATTATGAATCTTCTTACACGTCCACCTTTATATAGGGCTGGCAATCGGGCCATGTGAGCCGAGCTTAGGTTGGCTCAAGCTCATATACCATCGGGCCTCATTAGTATAGGCTCAAGCTCAAATACCATCGGGCCTCATCCCTCTAGGCTCAAACTCGGCTCACTTATTTTTTCGGGCTTCGGGTTTATATCGGGCTTATATCGGACAATAAAAAAAATAACTATATCTTTACAACTTTGCACTCAAACGTGTTCATAAAAAAAAGAAAAAAAAACCTTCGCAACATAAGAGCAAAATGTAAAATACTCTTGAAGATCAAAATTGGATAAAACGACATAGTCTATTCCTTAAAAATATGAAGTTTAATATCGCAAATAATTAATCCTTAAGTAATTAATCAATAAAAAATGCATGAGTCCAAATCGAAATGAAAAAAACATAAAACTAATAGAAGCAATAGTCGCTAGATGCACTCCTAACTCTTTCCGAAAATCTTGAGACCTGCAAAAGCAAAAAGACACTGAGAACAAAAAAACAAAACAAACAATATCAGTCTATATTAATTTAATTAAAAAAAAAATTATTTTGATGTCAGGGCTACAATACATGCTATCTTTTGATGTCATAAACTAGGAGTCTAGGATATAAATTTGTAAGAAAAAAAAATGGAAATACAAACTCAATAAAATCTTTAATTTTCGTTGAACAGTACTGGAAATACAAACTCAATAAAAATTGAAATACAAACTCAAAAAAATAATGACCCAATTTTCGTCGAACTGTGGAGATAAGTATTCAAAGTTATATCTAATACCTTTTGATATCACAAACTGGAATCAACTACAATAATCCCAGGTTTTACTTTAATTTTCTTAGAATATAAAATTGTATTGAAGAAAAAAATTTAGGAAAAAAAAAACAATGATAAATTAAGATTACCTCCATTGATGACATATGCTGAGAAACCCTAAACGTGATTTTTGCAAGATACTGTAAATTCTAGTTTTAATGTTTTATGTGAATTAAGAAAAAGGTTAAGATACGGTAAGTATCTTTGATGTAGGAAACTTTTCATTTTCTAAAGATTGATTTTGATTAAATTTATAAATTAATTACTACTAATTGAGTAATTGTTGACTTGTTTCCATCCGTACATATTACCTATTAGTTAAACTATTTTGCAGGATATATATATATATATATATATATATATATATATATATATATATATATATATATATATATATATATATATATATATATATATATATATATATATATATTATATTTAATTATCAATTTAGTCGGGCTTTATTCGGGTTGAGCCATAGTAAGCTCAAACTCGGCTCATAGTTTAATCGGGTCTAATTAAAAGGCTCAAACTCGGCCCGACTCATAATTAATTCGGCTCAGCTCAAATAAAATCGGGCCGAGCCATCGGGCTTCGGGTAGGCCCGGCTCAATTGCCGGTCCTACCTTTATAGTGTCAAATTCAACATAATCATCTAGATTCCGTAGAATGTTCTCTAGTTTGTACTCATTTTGTGCAAAAATGCAGTTTCTCATGCATCAAAATCTGATAAATAGAAGCCAAAAGACACATCTTATGATCATCTTGCTTCAACATGTCGGGGCCAATTTTTTATTTCATGATTGTTTTGTTTCGTAGATTACGAATATTACAAAAAAAAAAACGAACTAATCTGGATTTGCTTAGTTCTATATGACCACTATACAGTGAGTTCGTGTAGAACCAGGCGAAATTATTAGTTTCTTGATTTATGATGATGATGATGATGATGATGAGATTGCAGCGCAAGCACCTAGAGGTAGTGTCCAAGATTTTCCGACTTTCGAAGTTCCGCTATATTTGGAGATATCGTTCGAGGGATGGCCAGAAAATTACGAGTTCACGTCTTGATTCAAGTCATATATAGCGGCATATGTTTGCTTTGGACATGTAAGTTTTTGTTTCATATATGTAATATTTTTAAAATATGTTTTTGTACTACTCAATAAATTTTTAAAATATGCATGTTTTATAAATTTCTTCTTTACAAAATATAATTCTTAACTATCATTGACAACACAATTTACAAGGGCTTTTTTTTTAATGGTTAATCACTTTTAATATGGATAATTTGCATCAACATTCCTTGAACTTTGGTCTTTTGGTAACCACACCCCAAACATTTGATATTTTAGCATATACACTTCCATTTTTCTGTTAATGTCCATTTAGTTTAACGGGCAGAATAGAAAAACAACATTGAAATAAATAAATAAAGAAGGAGAAAACAATATTTTCCAGGAAATTTACACTTCAGTTATCCTTCTCTGGATTAGGCCATGGATGAATTAGGGGCTGCATATTGATGTTTCTCGTTTAATTTGTTTTAAGCCATTGGTGGCTATCTTTGAACTCTAGTGTCTGGGATTTAAATGAGAAATTTCAGAAAGATCACAAACTTTCTAAAACTAAAATAACAATAATTTTATTTAAACAAAAAACGTATTCTAGACAATAATAATTTATGAAAAATGATCATACTAGAATATTTATTTCTAATGTCAAATTTTACTTGTTTACGGGACGATATAAATTAGTTGTACAATAATCATATATTTTTTGTTACTTATGAAAAAATTATGAATGTCTAAGAATATTAAGAAAATGGAGCACAGGGGTGGATGCGCATTACTCTATCATTTCCAAAGATAAGGGTATATGTGTATTTTCCTCCCAAAACTAACAGACTATTAACGGAAAAATGGATGGATGGGGTGTATATACCAACATATCAAATGTTTGGGGTGTAGTTGCCAAAAGACCAATGTTTTGAAAATCGGACCAGATCGGCCGGTCCGATCGGTTCAACCGCGAACCGGTGCCTGATCTGGTCCGGTCGGACATCAAAAACCAGAAATGTCAAAAGGCGGGGTCAGTTATCTTTGAACCGTTAAAACCGGCCCAAAAAACTGAGTTTGATGCAACAAAATGAAAAATGAAAAAAAATGATGGAGAAAGGTAGAAGATTAATACACGATAACATGGATACCAGTGGGGAGGAATTGAGAATGAAAGAAGAGAAAAGAAGAAAGAAAAAAAAAAGAAAAAAAAAGACATAACTTACGTATGCAGAAGTTGAAGAAGAGGAGGAAAGAGGAAGAGGAATAGTGTGGGCGGCGGAAATAATAAAAAGATATGAGTGGCCTTCACAAAACATATATTAGGGTTTGAGGGTATATTTAATAATTTACATAAAAAAATTATTGTATTTTCTTGGTAATTTATTTACTTGACATTATTACAAAATTTATAATCTAATAATGGTAATTGAAATACAATTATTAATTTGTTGTTTGGTACGTATTTATAGTATATTTTAAATAGAGTGATTAATATAATACATAATTTTGTTTATATAAAAATTATATATAAATAATAAAAATTAAAGATAAAAAATAGAAAAACCCGGTCGGACCGGTCCAACCGTGACCCAATTGATTGTCCGGTTCAATGTCCGGTCCATTTTTCAAAACATTGCAAAAGACCAAAGTTCATCAGAGCAAATTACCCCTTCTCTTCAGCTAGCTATTTATAGTTTGTGAAATGTAGAAATTTTTGAACAATAATTTCTAAAATGTGAAATGGTAAATAAGTTCATCGTTGTATACATTTTTATTTCACTCATAAGATGTTCTATACATCCTCATAAGTTACCTTATTTACTATACATTAAAATTTTATTTGTATATTATAACTTACAATTTCTAATGCTAAATGTAATTTTATACATGAAATCAATAGTTAAAAAAGAAACACATAGTTTTCGGAAAACAAATTTCGAACGTTATTGTACTGCATTTTTAGGAAAATAGTCTCGGCCATGACCATAGTTTTCGCCGAATCCTTGGGACATGTTCTGAACATTATTGGACTGCAGTTCCCTCGGCATTCACACTAGAGCTTCCACCCCTTACATCGGGCCCCACAATCTTACTAAGACTCCCATAATTGTACGGAAATGTGAATCTCAAGTTATTATCAATATTTTTTTCGTATAAAATGGAGCGTAACTGTGAAAAAAAATACACTAGATGAGGCATTTACCCTTGGATTTGAGGTACCAATTCCTCCATAAAATTGAGTAGATGGAATATTCGAAGATCCTCCTTGAACCATTAATGGTTCATTATTGCCATAAAATTCAAAACTTTGTTTGAATTTCATGATGGACCTCTTCAATTCGTCCAATTGTTGATAATTTAGGTCATCGATATTTGTCGGGCACCATCTATGGCATTGGGGAGCCGTACTCAAGTTTTCGTTCGCTTTCCTCCGTTCCTTTTCTTGTTTTAGTTGCGCCTCCCAGCTACCGACCTCCTGATTACGATGGTGCATGATAGCATCACCTTGAGCCGCTCTTTGTAGTTGGTGGGCTTCGTTTCTCGAATTCGGGTTACGATTAGGGTTGAAAAACCAGTCAACAACCGTTTTGACACTGGGGTTTCCATATGAGTGTGGTTTTTCTCTTGGGGAGAAAACAACCACTACACTCTCGGCACCACATAGGGTGCTGAGTTCGCTGGCCTTTTTGAAAAGCCCAGCTCGCCTTTTCTGGGGGCCTTTTCCTTTTATTTGAGGGTTAGGGTTATTCTCGGATGAGTTATTCTGGTTCGACGAACTCATTTTCTTTAGAGAAAATAAATAATGTTTGATGAAATAATCAAAAGAAAAACGAGAAACCTAGAGAAGGGAAAAAATGTCATAATGCACAAGAAGGCCAACGAAAAGATTTGTGGTTTCAGCCATGCAAGGAACAAGTACTTATATAATAGGAGATACATGCCACATGAAATATTTTCTATCTTTTACATTAAATGTTGATATAAGTCAAAAATCTAGTTTAGTCTATTTGTGATTCATTAGTTAGTCCATCATTTAATTTTGCTAGCCCTCGGATGCGTATAAACTTTGCATATATCAATATTTTAATATTAACAATAATAGTTTGTCGCCAAAAAATTCTAAATAAATAAAAAGGAAATGTAATCACCATATATTTTGTTGATTTCTATAATTATAATGTCACTTTTATGTTACATAAAATCCATGGATACAATAGAGTAATTAATTTTGCCACGGAAAAATGAATCGTTATAAAGATTAGGTAGTCATCTCATTATTAAGAATCGTCATTCGAGATTTTTCTCATATACATGAGAATCAAGGATCGAGATTATCAAATATCAAATATAGACGTCATCATAACTATACATTAACACCATTACATTCCCTTATTACAAATAAAAAAATATTTTTGCGATACTTTTACAACTTAAATTAAAGATTTTGAATAAATGTTATTGGCTAAAAACCTACATGCAAGTGTATATATATCCCATGCAAGTAGTAATAGTGGACTCTTAGGGAGTCGGGATTGTCAAACTCACAAGGAGAAAATATTTTTTCTCTAAGTACTCAGCCACTAACAATGTGGTTTTATCCAAGTGAAACTAAATTGGTTGGTTTATTATTCTAAAGTATAAACTAGTAAGAATAATTCATATATAAAGCGAGCCTCGGATTTTGTTTTCACCTTATGCTTTTGTTTATCCCGATGTTTCTCCTTATGCATTCATTGATTAAGTTTCCTTGTCGAAACATTTAAGTTTCGGTTCTAATCTAGAGATTGACTATCCATGATATATATCACACTCTATGTACTATCATACATGTTAGTTATACGCATTCGACATCACATGTCCTAAGATTCATATACTTTCAGGTCAATTCTAAATAATTAACTGTGAGATAATTACAAAGGAATTCACAGAACATAGAGTGATCAATTCTATATATAAACTCAATCCAAGCATATGAAAAAAACAGAATTCAACTCATTAGCATAAGGTTCAAAACATCCACAACAGGATTCCATAAAATTCTAGACAAATATCTTGCTACTCATCTTTACTAAAAAAATATTAAAGATAGTTTATTCATGCTAGAAACATTAAGAACAAAAGTCAAGGGAAAATATATATAAACTGAAGCATCTCTGTGTGGAATTATTGTCACTCCGACTACGCTTCAATTCTTCATATTTTTTCTTCGTCTCGTATCTCCAAGTCACCGTGGAAGAATCCACCAGTTTTCTGCTCTAAACTAGGGTATTAGCCCCCTTTATCTTTGTCCATCTATTTCTTATGGCTCTCTTCAAAAAATTTGACATAAAACATGTATTTGTACAAAGTCAACATCTTCACCATCGATCACTAATAGCTCCCGATCGATCGGTGGTATGAACTTTTGGGTTTTGTCTAAAGTCATGGCGATCGATCAGTACAGACTAACCGATCGATCGATGAGTCTATTTTAGATGTTCTTTGCTTTCTCGTAACTTCTTCGCCAAGTCTCGCGCCTATTGCCATGTTCTTCGCGTTATTCAACCTCAATTGTCCCCATTTTGCCCAGTACGCGTTCTAATTACAGTATTGCCACAAAACACGTAAGATCTGCAAATTGCATGATTCTCCTAAATGCAATTATGACGTTAGACTAGAAAAAATGCACATAAACGATCGACAATTACTCAATTCTTAGCATAAAGAGGTTGACTAACAGTGTTCATATTAACACTCAGTACACTCCAAAACTTGAATCGTTGCTCATCCTCAAGCAATGGAAAAATCAACAAAATACACAAAAGGCAAATATGTTGACCATCTAGGATTCTCTAAACCCCATTCTCGTTACCACTACCTTCAAACCAATGTAAGCGTGTTAGAGGAATATAATATATATTCTTCTTTGATTTAGTTTAGCCTTAATTAGGTGATTTGATTAGATTCAATCAAGTCTTAATTAGTGATTTGATTAGGTGTAATTAGTTTCTTCCTTTGATTGTTTCTCTTGTGTGTATATAAATGTACAAGCCCTCATTGATGAAATACAAGACACAATTCATCTTCTTCATTATGTGTTTCTTCATTTCTACATGGTATCAGTGAATCTTTAATTTTTTTTTCTCCTCATTCTTCAAAATGTCTACCGACGATCTTCTTCCTACAAAGTCTTCTTCATCATCACCCACACCCATCATAACCGATTTATACACAATCCATCATTCCGATAGTCCTTCTACTATCCTTGTCACACCTTTGTTGATAGGAGATAATTACGGATCATGGAGTCGTGCAGTCACAATGGCACTTCGTGCCAAAAATAAGCTTGGTTTCGTTGATGGGTCACTCCCAATTCTGACAGAGTAATCTGACATTTATAATTGGGAACGTTGTAACGATTTGGTAGGAAGTTGGATCCTTAATTTTGTTTTACTTGAGATTCGTCCAAGTATCTTGTATGCTGAAACTGCAGCACAAATTTGGACCGATTTCAAGGATCGTTTTTCTCAATCAAATGATCCAAAAAATTTATCAATTGAAACAGTCCATTTCTGCCCTCAAACAAGAAAGCATGTTTGTTTCATTGTATTTTACGCAACTCAAATCTCTATGGGATGAACTCGGTTCCATTATCCATATCACTCCTTGCATTTGTGGTAATGCTAAAAGCATTATTGACCAACAAAATCAAGATCGATCCATGGAATTTCTTCAAGGACTACATGATCGCTTTTCCGTTATTCGCAGCCAAATTCTCTTGATTGAACCATTTCCTTCCATTCAACGTATCTATAATTTGGTTCGTCAAGAAGAAAAACAGCAAGAGATCAATATTCTCACAACTCCTACTGTTGATGCCGCTGCACTTCAAGCATCTAAACCTCCATTTCGTCCGTCGGGAAAATGTCAACGTCCATTTTGCGACCATTGCAACAAACATGGTCATACTCTTGCTATATGCTATCAATTTAATGGCTTTCCTGACAAACATGTGAAGAAATCCGTGCCACCACCATCCACCTCCACTCTTATGGCTAGTTCACTCACGCACGAACAATACAACAAGCTTCTCACACTTCTTGGCAAAGAAGAAACTAGTGGACCCTCAGTGCACTTAGCGGGTAAAAATCACACATTTTCATCATTTTGTTGGATTATTGACTCCCGGTGCTTCTAATCATATATGTACATCTATCTCATTTTTTTCTTCATATTCCCCTATTCGTAAAAACATATATGTTCAATTGCCTGATGGCTCTCACGCGCCTGTGACTCACATAAGCACTGTCAAATGTTTTGGTACTTTCATTCTCACGAATGTTTTTTACATTCCATCTTTTAAGTTCAATTTGTTATCCATTTCACAATTTACGAAATCCACAAATTGTGATATAATTTTTTCTTCGTCTGGATGTATATTTCAGGACCAATCAACGAAGAAGACGATTGGTCGGGGTAATCCTCACAATGGTCTTTTCTATCTAGATTGCAAGGTTTCTAATTCTGCTCTTTCTATTAAGCAATGTAATAAATTTGATCTATGGCATTCTCGCCTTGGTCATCCATCTAGACCTCGTTTTGATTTTATTGTTAAGAATTCACAAAATATTATTCCAAATAAGGATTTTGTTGTGATGTTTGTCCACGTGCTAAACAGGCACGTCTTTCATTTCCTTAACGTACATCTTGTTCTTCTCATTGTTTTGAATTGATTCATGTTGATATTTGGGGTCCTTTCTCTATACCCTCACAAAATGGATCACGATTCTTCTTAACCATTGTTGATGATTATTCAAGATGCACTTGGATTTATCTAATGAAACACAAATCCGAAACTTTCAACATGATAACCCATTTTTTTAATATAATTCGTCGTCAATTTAACACAAAAGTCTCTCGTTTCAATTCCGGAAATGGGGATATTTTTCTTGCTCAACTTCAAACCATACGTTCAGATAATGGTTCTGAATTTCTTTCCAAACAAATTCAAAAATGGTTTCATGATAATGGAATCATTCATCAACGTAGTTGCGTTGCGACCCCACAACAAAATGGCATTGTAGAACGTAAACATCGGCATCTCCTTGATGTCGCTCGAGCTTTACGATTTCAAGCAAACTTGCCTCTTTCTTTTTGGGGTGAATGTATTCTAACCGCTGCATTTCTCATTAACAAACTTCCGACTCCAGTCCTTCAATATAAATCTCCTCATCAAGTCTTAGTTGGACAACTTCCATCTTATTCATCTCTTCGAGTTTTTGGGTGTTTATGTTTTGCTAAAAATATAAATATTCAACATAAATTTGATGAACGAGCAAAACCTGGCATCTTTGTTGGTTATCCTTATGGACAAAAGGGATATCGTATATACGACCTCAAAACTCGTCAAATTTACGTTTCACGCGATGTCATATTTCATGAGTCAATTTTTCCATATCATGATCTTGCAAATTCATCTTTACAAGATCCAATTTCAACTACTCCGATCAATGATAATGGGACTTTTGACTACCCTACACCACTCATCGACCCCCCTTCGGGTGATTTTATTCCTCATAATGAAACTACGAGTTTGGATGACTCGCCACCATCTCCTTCCTTACCCTATCAACTTGATGATTCAATCAATTCTCCCTCTATTTCCGAATCTCCTTCCTCACCTTCTCACTTGATGGTTCAACTAATTCTCCATCTATTTCCGATAGCACACCATCTTCTGATTCACCTTCTATAAAAATTATTCGTAATTACCCTCAACGCATCCGTCACCAACCAAAGCGTCTCAATGATTATATTTGTAATCATATTTCAC